TGGTTTAACAACAATTTTCATTCTTTATGTACTTAAAATATAATAAATGATGTACGCTTTTCTGAGTTATATATAGTTATTGCAAATATTTTTTCCAACAACCAGTAAATAATAACATGTAAATCTTCACAATGTGAGATGAAATAAACAAAACCCCCAAAAAAATGTAAATCTGAGTACTTTTTATTGTAGCCATCTTTGAGAGTATTGCAGTGAAATGACAGTAGAACTTCATAATGCTTCACAATATTAATCATACAGAAAATAATGTATTTGAGTAGCTTTTTTATTGCATCCTCTTAGAAAATATTAAGATGAAATGACAGTGGGAGCTTATATTTATCAAATCTGATATCTACTTCATAAAACAATCCTTCTTCTTCTCTCTGGATTGCTGAACTATATTTAAAAGTATATAGTACAACGACTTTGAATTGTGTAAATCTTCATATATGATGTCAAATAAAAAGTAACATAAAAATCTGAGTAGTTTTTTATTGCAGCCATCTGAGAGAGTATTATAGTGCAATGACATTCAAGCTTTACAAAATCTGGTCTCGAAACCTTTAACAGAAAAACAATTCCAATTTGCTATAACTTTTAAGATAATTTTGAAAATATCAAAATGTTTTAACTAGTTTGTGTTTGTATTTCCTCCTTTTAAAACATGTTTGTTAAAAATCAAGATATTTAAAATAAAAAGATGCCCATATGGGCCACATTGCTCACCTGAGTCACGGTGGTCCAGCTGTTCTTCTTCAGCAGATTTCCCCCCATTATATTCCTATGTAAAACTTTGATCACATATTGTTGCCCCACCCTATTCCCAAAGTCATAATTTGAATAAACTTGAATCTACACTACCTGAGGATGTTTCCATATAAATACAAGCAAACTGTAAGAATTGTGGTCCCCCGCTTTCGGTGCCTTAGTGGATGGGATGCCATTATCTATGGCTTGTTGTAACTGCCTTGTTCGTGTACCCTGTCTTGTCTGTGCGTTATACAAAAACACGTAAATCATTGAATTGATTACTAAGTACAGTTATGGCAAAGATTATAGCTTCTCAAAACTACATCAAACTTCAAGATCAAGGTCATGAGGTCAAATACCACAATACAATCCGAAAGGTCACAAGTAATGCACATGTGAAAAACAAAATATCAAAAACCACCGGGAAGGTATTGAAACAGGTAATGCACATGTCAAATGTAAATGCCATATTTTCTCTTAATCAAAAGTTATCAGCAATGTTAAAATTTTTGAAAACAAGGTTAAAATTCAAGGTCGTGGGGTTTAAAACCATAGTGAATTTGGAAATGCTTGTCACAGGTAATGCACGTTTCAAATAGGAATGCCCCATCTTCACCCCTTCTAAAGTTAGCAACACTGATGAAATGTTTGAAATTTAGGTCAAACTTGAAGGTCAAAGTCACGGAGTCAATTATCACAACATATTCGGAAACATTTTGACACAGGTATTGCACTTGTCAAATATGAACGCCCTACCATACTAGTATGTCATTCAAAAGTAATCACAAAAGTTAAAAGTGTTGAAAATTAGGTCAACCATGAAGGTCAAGGTCAAGGGGTCAAAAGAATAGCATGCTGAGAAACATCTTGTCACAGGTAATGCACATGTCAAACATGAAAGTCCTGTCTATTTCAACCAAAAGTTATAAGCAAAGTTCAAGGTCACGTGGTCAAAAACCATAACTGTAATAGTATTTATGAACATGAAAGCATTTTAAACTCAAATATATGTATTAATCTATGTCTCAATGAGTATTGACCTACACTACTACTTATGAGGTTTGTTACCGACTGTTCACAGAAATGTGTCAGGTTGTTCAAGTCCAGAAAGCGAGAATTCCGTGGACTTGACAACCTGTTATATTTTTGTAGACAGTCAGTAACAAACCTAATAAGTGTTTTGTTTTGTTGAGGTCCAATAATTTAACAGGCCTATCGAAATCGGTTACAATTAAACTATTTTCTCGTTTCTGCAAATCACCCTTGATTCGTCACCTTGTTTATCGATTACATCACTGAAAAGGGGTCCTACTTTAAATTTAATCGCAGCTTTGCCAAATCGGTAAGAACATAATGAATTTATTGGTTTCTTTTAAGATGAATGATCAAGTGTTTGGAGACACTATCAGACTTGCCTCGGATGCTGGATCTAACCTTCATTTTCAGATGGGTAAACGGGTTAAAGTTTTTGTAGCAGGTGCTATTTTCAAGAAACTATAAGGCTTGTTGCGACAAAACTTGCATGGATGATGCATCTAGGGATGCACATTTGGTGCCAGTCTTGCGTAGATGTTTGATATAGCCCTACATTTTCTGGATGAGTGAACAGGTTAAAGTTTTTGTAGCAGGTCCATTCCCAAGTAACTAACTGGAAAAAATTGCATTGATACATCTAGAGATGCACACTACCAGACTTACTTCAGATGCTGGAACTGACCTAAATTTTTCAGATGAGTGAACAGGTTAATGTTTTTGGAGCAGGTCCATTTCCAAGTAACTATATCCTCCAACTGGAAAAAATTGCATGGATGATACTGGATTTGCTTCAAATGTTGGATTACTCTTACATTTTCCATATGAGTAAACAGATTAAAGTTTTCAGAGCAGATCTATTCCCAAGTAACTTTCAAGCCATATAGTGACTAAACTTGCATGAAGGATGTATGATGTACTACCAGACTTGTTTCAGATGCTGGATCTGACTGACATTTCATGATGATGAAACAGGTTAAGTGTTAAGAGATCTATTCCCAAGTAGCCTGGTGATTAAACTTGCATCAATGATGCATGTAAGGATGCACATTACCAAGCATGCTTTGGATGCTGGATCTGATCTGCATATTTGATATATATCCAAGTTTCTGTAAATCTTACCATGACCAAACCTGTATGGAGCGCAGCATCTAGGGATACAAATTAGCAAAACATCTATTTGGTTTGAGATTTGCCTTTCTGATAGATAAAATTTGTTGAGGTGAGCTTATGTTTTTGAAATGTTGCTTCACAAGACTGAAACTATTAAAAAAATATATTAAAAGAAAAATATATATCAAGAATTAACATGCATTTATGATAGATAGGTGAATGAAAATACGTAATCCTCTATAAAAAAAAAATAAAAGGCAAGAATTTTGAAACAAAATAAGTCTGGTACCAGGTGGATTCGAACCATGAGCCTAAGAAATGGAATTAGTAATGAGAGTCACCTGTCTAATCATCTGAACTATAATGACTATGAGATTCTCTGTAACTAACACAAGTCAACTGGAACTGTATATCTGTGTAGCACACTTTGTTCAAGGACAAGAAACATTCACTCTGTGTTACTAGATAGTACTAAATACAGGTGTTCTCATCTGCAAGGAGCTGCGGATTGCAATTGTATATCTTTATACATTTGAAAAATATGTTTGAAAGAATTTGATCAATTCATTGTGCAAACATTTATTCCATCTATTATATCCTACTACTGAACACTAGTGCTTGTCTGAATTATCAAGTTGGAACATGGTAACATGTATTGATCAAAGTCTTGCACCATTTTAAATTTATATTTAGTAGTATATATTTAATGGTTATCACTAGTCAATGTCAGATTATTTATTTTCTTACAAGCAGAGAACTAAATATTTATTTTCAACATTTTCAAGGACTCTTTATTTCACAAATCTGCCATTATTGGTTTATGATTTTAAACCAGTTCATGCATGAAACGTAGGTAATCGAAGATTACTGAGCTCACCTCAAAGAATGTTATCTTAAGTAAGGCAAAGTCCCACACTAAACTATTATTCTAGTAGAGTGAATCCCTATTTGCAACATATATGCAATTTTGGTAGGGCTTGCATTTACTTGGGAACTGACTTGTCCTAAAAACTTAAACTGGTCACTCATCCAAAAAATGCAGATCAGATCTAGCATACAAAGCAAGTCTCTGTGTGCATCCCTTGATGCATCTTCAAAAATATGTTTGGCCCAGGTAGGCCTTATAGTCACTTGGGAATGGACCGACTTAAGAAGCTTTAACCTCATCAATCATCAGTGTATTTCACATCCAGCAACAGAAGTTAATCTGGTAGCGCGCATCCCTGGATGTATCATCAGTGTAAGTTTGCTCTATGAAGGGCTTTAAAATTAACCTGGAATGAACATGCTTCAAAACCTTTAACATGGTCACTCATCCAGAAATATAGGACAAATCCAGCATCCAAAGCAGATCTGGTAGTGTACATCCCTAAATGCATTGTCCATCAAAATTTGGTCCAGATATGGCTTTAATTTACACTGGAATGAACCTGCTGCAAAAACTTCAACCTGGTCACTCATCTAGAAAATGTAGGTCAAATCCAGCATCCAAAGTAAATCTGATAGTGTGCATCCCTGGATGCAAAATCTATGCAAGCTTGGTCCAAATGGGGCTTGAGGTTACACTGGAATGAGCCTGTGCCAAAATTTTAACCTGGTTATTCGTCCAGAAAATGTAGGTCAAATCTGGCATCTGAATCAAGTTTGAAATTGTTCATCCCTTGATGCATCATTCTTGCAAGTTTGAACTAGGAAGAAATTGAAGGTACACTGGAATGAGCCATTCTCCAAAAGCTTTAACCTGGTCATTCATCAAGAAAATGTAGGTCAAATCCAGCATCTGAATTAAGTCTGGTAGTTTGCATCAATGAATGTTTCTTCAATGTAATGTTGGTCAGCATAGTGCTTAAAGTTATCGCTTCAAAAACTCTAACCTGGTCATTCTTTAGCTGAAAATACAGCATCTGAAACCTGGACTGGTAAAATGGAACATACTTAAACCATTGTCAGTGCAACACTGATCAATGTAGACCAAAGAATACTTAAAAAAAATCTGCTTCAAAAAACTTTAACCGGCACATTGATGGGTATTACATAAGCTCCCCTTACTTTGTTGAGGTGAGCTAAAAATGCTTAAATACTTGTATCTGAAGAACAATTACTTTTCATTTGTTTTGAATTGGTAAATTTAATCAAAACAACTGGTATACACAGCACCTACATGAACCTTGTACATGTATAATATTCATATGAACCAACACATGGCAAATGTGTTTTATATCACTAATATCAAATCTCTTCAAAACAAGGTATTGCAATCAATAAAATTCATAAAATGTCAACAATCCAGCTCTACCTCAATATAATATTACATGTATTATTATAAATTAAAATCACTCTTATGATTTCTTCTTGGAAAGTTTGTATTTCACAAACCGAATCAGGTTTGTTCTTGCTGTAGAAATTACAGGATAATGTTCATCTGGTTTCTTTTTAACCATATTTACCTGAAATAAAAATACAATAAACTTAAATTGATTTGATTGAGAAAAAAAGATACTGGTACACATACAGCTGTATGTTGTAAAGTGTTAAATTTTCACACTCAATTTATGTCCACCTCTCTTCATTCCCTTTTTTGTAATTTTTTCGTGGTGGACATACACGCATGAATAAGGCATGAACTACATGTAGTGTCTGTCTGGTGACATTAATGAATCCCTTATTTCTTCGTAAATATTAGGCTGGCTATCAAGTGTGATTTTCCCTAAATGAAGGAAGGGCCATATCTGTATATATTTGTAGGCACTAGGCAAATCCTTTTCTTCATCGTATTAATAATGATGAAAATTACTTTTTGCAAGTTCAATTAATCTAAATCCCATATCCTGGAAGCAGGTACAAATCCCTTAAAATGTTACATTTACCTTTCATTAAAGTTCAGTTTAGTGAAAAAGTCATCAAGAAAGAACATGTAAATTGCCATATTTTAATACGGGAATTAACTTGGTTCTATAAAGAACATAATTAGTACTGTAAAATCACAATTAATTTTCATTGGTGTTTAATTTCTGTTGCTTTTGTGGTATGAAAGACGGAGACCCATGAATTCATGTCCACTGTGAAATCTTAGTATTTCTAATCAAATCAGCACAAAACTTCTTCAACCAGACAACGATAAATATGACTAATCATGGCTATGCTCTTTTTGAGAAGAAATTTTTTACTGATATATCCTTTATATTCCTTTGTATAACTTTGATCCCCTGTTATGGCCCCTCTTTACACCGGGAGGTCATGATTTAAAGAAATTTGAATCTACATGACCTGAGGATGCTCCTATATTTGTATCACTAAACATGGCTTTGCTTTCTTGAGAAGATTTTAAAAGATTGTTCCTATGTAAAACTGAGATCCCCCATTGTGGCCCCCAAATAATTATGGGGTCACAATTTGAACAAACTTGAATCTACACTACCTGAGGATGCTATATATTCCTAAGTAAAACTTTGATTGCCCATTGTGGCCCTACCAAATCCCCAGGGGTCATGATTTGAACAAATTTGAATCTACACTACCAGAGGATGCTTCCACATAAATATGACCAATCATGGCTTTGCTGTTCTTGACAAGAAAATTTTTAAAGATTTTTTCTTTTAAAGATTTTTTTCTTATGTATTCCTAAGTGAAACTAAATGCCTATTGTGGCCCCACCCTAACCCAAGGGGTCATGATTTGAACAAATCTGAATCACTGACACTTCCTGAGGATGCTTCCATATAAATATGACCAGTCATGGCCGTGCTGTTCTTGAGAAGAAAATTTTTAAAGATTTTTTCCTATGTATTTCAGTGTAAAAATTTGATCACCTATTGTGGCTCCCCTACCCCCAGGGGTCATGATTTGAACAAACTTGAATCTACACTATCATGTATGTTTCATATTTTCTAGCCCAGTGGTTCTTGAGAAGATTTTTATAAGATAGCATCAAATTTTTACTAATTCTTAATTATTTCCCCTTAAAAGAGAGTGTGGCCCTTTATTTGAATAAACTTGAATCTCCTTAACCCAACAATGCTTTGTGGCAAGTTTGGTTGATATTGGCCCAGTGGTTCTGGAGAAGAAATCAAAAGTGTGGAAAGTTTACAGACAAATGGACTACAGACAAAATGTGATTAGAAAAGCTCACCTTAGCTTTCAGCTCATGTGACCTAACAAGACATTTAAAATACTGCGACCCTTTTCACAAAAAATCTTACGACTAAGACAAAAATTTTCCCCTTCTTCATAAAGTATCTAGGCTGCAGTAGGAAATAAAAAAGGTCTTATTTTTTTCACATCAGATAACATTGTAAAAATATCTAAGAAAACAAAAATAAGTATATTTATTAAACAAAAAATTACAGAGTTGACAAATTTTTATCTTAGTCGTAAGAAGTTTTGTGAAAAGGGCCACAGGTACTTACTCTTGCTTTCATGTCTGGTATAAATTTGGACAGTCTCTCTGTGAGACCTATCTCCTGAGCAACAGGGTCAAGATGATCTTCCCCAAAAACATCAAATATACAATCCAATGCTTCTGATACCACCCATAAGTCTCTGTCACCACACACAATGGTCAACAAGAAAATGCCTATGTTCTGTGAGAAAAAAAAATCAAAATATACTGTAACACAATTATAGAAAAGTAACAGGGCTAGCTTAAAATAATTTGTTTCATTATATGATTGAATAATTCCCATCTCTCTGATTGGCTGAGATCCAACAATGTTAGAAAAATACTACGTTATATTGACCTGCACGTTACCTTATAGGTCCATATAAGGAAGTCTTCATTCTACATTGGACCAAATATAGATAGGGAATTTCCAAATTGATACCAATAGTTTTAGAAAGTTATTTCACTTGCACCTGACTTCTACTCATATGAACATAATTACATTAATGCACATAGATTCTTGATTCTTGGGTGAGGGTTGGGGGTGCAGGAGGCCTGCCCCTCTCCTTTAGATAATGTAACTTTAATTTAAATTTTAAAGATAAAAAATTTCAATGAAAGCCCCCCTTCCCTTTTTTATGGACCTTTACATCCCATCAAAAAACAAGAGGCCCAGGGGCCACATCACTCACCTGAGCACTATGGCTAGAAAAAAGCAGAAATCAGTTCAGTCTTGAAAGGTTGAAAAGTTTAAATATAAAAGTTGGGGGGGGGGGGGGTCATGAATTGAACAAATTTGAATCTACATTATCTGAGGATGCTTCCATTTAAATATGAACAATCATGGCTTTGCTGTTCTTGAGTAGAAGATTTTTAAAGATTTAACCTATGTATTCCTATGTAAAACTTTGATCACCCATTGTGGCCCCACCCAACCCCAGGGGTCATGTTTGAACAAACTTGAATGTACACTATCTAAGAATGCTTCCATATGAATATGAATATGCATATCATGGCTTTGCTGTTCTTAAGAAATAGTTTTTTTAAAAAGATTTTTACTACGTGTTCCTATGTAAAACTTTCATCACCCATTGTGGCCCCACCCTATCCCCGGGGGTCATGATTTGAACAAATTTGAATCTACACTATCTGAGGATGCTTCCTTGTAAATATGACCAATCATGGCTTTTCTGTTCTTGAAAAGAAGATTTTTAAATATTTTTCCTATATATTCCTATGTAAAACTTTGATCGCCCATTGTGGCCCCACCAGACCCCAGGGGCTCATGATTTGAATAAACTTGAATCAACACTATCTGAGGATGCTACCATATAAATATGACCAATCATGGCTTTGCTGTTCTTGAGAAGAAGATTTTTAAAGATTTTTCCTATATATTCATATGTAAAATTTTGATCGCCCATTGTGGCCCCACCCGACCCCCAGGGGTCATGATTTGAACAAATTTGAATCTACACTATCTGAGGATGCTTCTTTGTAAATACGACCAATCATGGCTTTGCTGTTCTTGAAAAGAAGATCTTTAAATATTTTTCCTATATATTCCTATGTAAAACTTTGATCGCCCATTGTGGCCCCACCCGACCCCCGGGGGTCACGATTTGAACAAACTTGAATCTACACTATCTGAGGATGCTACCATATAAATATGACCAATCATGGCTTTGCTGTTCTTGAGAAGAAGATTTTTAAAGATTTTTCCTATATATTCCTATGTAAAACTTTGATCGCCCATTGTGGCCCCACCCGACCCCCAGGGGTCATGATTTGAACAAACTTGAATCTACACTACCTGAAGATGCTTCCACATAAGTTTCATATTTTCAAGCAGAGTGGTTCTTGAGAAGAAGAGTTTTTAATGATGCCATTAATTTTTCACAAATTCTTAATTATCTCCCCTTGGAAGAAGGCGTGGCCCTTCATTTGAACAAACTTGAATCCCCTTTATCTAAGGATACTTTGTGGCAAGTTTGGTTGAAATTGGCCCCGTGGTTCTTGAGAAGAAGATGAAAATGTGAAAAGTTTACAACAACAACGACAACAACGACGACAGACAACGGACCCCCTTTTTCAAAATCAATCATGTATATATGCCCGACATTTATTTTTTCTACATTGCACCTAAACTAGAATTAAAAATTCCAAGATAACACAACTGGTTGCTTTTAACCCCGTTTCTCTCATTATGTTTGGCTATAACTTCAGTAGATGTGAACGAGTAAGATGGTATGGATTGCTTAATGAGTGTTTGTCATTTAATCATATAATAAAACAATTATTGCTGGTATACGATGATTTCAACACCTGAGGAGTACAATATTCACTGAGCCCAAAGGGCGAGGTGAATATTGTACTCCTCAGGTGTCGAAATCATCATATTGACCTCAAAAACCAGCAATAATTGTATAATATCCTTCATTACATTAACTCAATATCTTTTTTCTTAATCCATGTACATGTGCAGTCAAACCTCGTTATCTCAACCTTGATGGGACTGAGAAAAAAACTTTTTGAGACATCCAAGGGTTCAAAATATTGAGGTTGAAATATAATAAAAAGTGGTTGTTGGTATCCAAAATCACTTCGACATATCCATGGTCTTTGAGATACCAAAGTTCAACTGTATTAATTTTCATTAATTCAAAAATTTGCTATTTCTTAACTACATGTAAGTGAAAATATGTTTTCTTCATAAGCAAGTGTTTACTTATTTGCATTTTCTAAATTATATTTTTTTTTAAAGAATACTTTAATTATAAGATAAATCTTTCAAGAAAAAATTTCAAACTACAGGTAGTCAAATTGTGACTTTATATTTTAGAAGGATGAGACACACACAATGAGGTCCAGTGTATGTTACAGTACACTTAAAATGAAACTACACTGTACATCTAACTTGATTTTAATGCCTGCAATATACAAATCCACTTACCTTCATAATATCCACATTTTGTAAACCAGTCTGTTTGCTAAAGACCACGCCTACTGTTGATATGACTCTAATTATGTTGACCTTGATGTCGGCAGATTGACAAGAGCGACCGAGGTCAAAGAGAAACTGCAGGTCAGACACTGACACCTCCAGCAGCTGAAACATTCAGTGATTGAAAATATGAAGTATTTTAATTTGGAACACATTCTGCAGACAGCCGGACACCATATTGTGATAGTCCACCTGTTTGTCTATCAGACCTTAAAACAAAGTTTGTTGAATCAAAATATTATGCGTTACTGGTTTTTTAACAATTAAAATTTCAACTCAAAGGTGAAGGTCAAAACAAACATTACGTAAACTAGAACTGTCCAAAATGGACAAATTCCCCCACTGGGTTTTTCAGGAAAGGTACCAAGTCACTAGAAGTATTTTATGGATGTAAGAGGTGATTACTATTATTTAAACATCTTGAGTGAAAATTTCATTTCTCATTGTATTTTTTAATGAATGTTGAACTAAGCTGCAGCCTTTGAAAACATCAAAATACCAATAATTATATTGTTACTTTCATTTTTAGGTTGAAAAAATTAATTGCAATTATCTGTCATCCTTGTGAGACATGAGTGTCTGCTGTGTTATGCACTGTGTGTAGTTCAATGTAAATGCATATTTATGTCATTGCTGATAAAAACAAAGTTTTTTAAAATTTGTTACAAAGCTTTATATAATAGGAAAAAAAATGTAATCTTAATGCAACATTTTTTAATATGTTACTGCATAACTCTTGGATTTGTAGTGACTATCTGTCATAAAACTTTTTGTTAATATACTTGGTGATTTTTTAAAAAGATTTTAATGACCTGCTTTTAAGCTGAAATTCACATTTTTCTACAAATGTACCATCTGGCAGTTTCTTGATTCTTTGTCTAAAATTTAAATGAACCCAAATGACTCAATTATAAATGAAAAAAAAATACCTGTACAATGACGAAAAATTGTCCAATCACGATAAAAATATCAGGTGCTTATCTTTATATGGTGAATAATAAGTGTACAAATTTTCAGACAAATCCACGCAATAGTCTCCAAGAACAAGTCCGGATAAAATCATGTCTACAGACAGACGGACATGCTGATTACAATATTCCCCCATTCAAAATTTGTTTGGGGGGTATAATTATGCAGAAACCATTAATGTTTCCAACTTCTAAGTTAATGTCAAATTACATCTTTGTGTCAGATCTTCTCTGAAGTATGTTTTTATGTTCATTTTCTCATATCTCAGAGGGTAAAATACTTATTCTGTACTAATGTCCCTAGGTAGGACTGTCAATGATTTTGACCAAAAATTCTAGCTTTAAAGGTTGTAATCAAAACTTTGTCTATTAAAATTCCTTGACTGGAGTTCTTTTCCCTTGGCCCACTTTTCATATACTGGTACACACAGATAATGTCCTTGTGTAAAGGGTGTACAAATCAGACCTTCAGAACAAATATCTTTTTCAGGTCAGTGCCCCCCCCCCCCCCCCCCCCCCTTGACTAATCTTGTTTGTATGTCTCTTAAAGATGGGTACCAACTCACATCAAGTTTGGTTTTAATTTAATAAATATGCAATCATGTACATGAATACGAGTTTCAAAACCACATTGTGAATTCAAAATGATGGATGGACATAATGTGCTTTTCACAGAAAACTGTGAAGCTCAATGTTCTTAACCTTGAACTAAAAATCTCACATAATACGAGGGCTGTTCGGAAATTATTGAGACAATGTGTTTATTCTTTTTTCTAATGAACGTCTTTTGGTGAAAATTTGCATATAGGTTTGACAAATAATAAAAATTAATAAAAGCAAAAAATATTTTACAAATATTTTTTTTCTTCTTCTCAGTGGTATATTTATGTGTCAATGGTAGGGTTACCCGGCGCAGTCACGAAATCAGGTGTTGAAAATATGTTACACCAATGTTCAAACTCCCAGTGGACTCATAGTAAGAGCGAAAATAATTCAATTTATGTATATAATTTTTCAATTTTAATTTTGACTTCATTTTGTGTAAGTTTGTTAGAATTTCGATCAGAAATACGGAGATCATAAATAAATTCAAGCACGGCATAGAAATCTGAGAACGACGACAAAATGGAATTTGACGTCAAGGCGGCGCAGCGAGCATACCTTTAATTTTGGGTAGTGCTAAGGAGAACTCTTTTCCAGACTAAACAATGAAAATGCAAAAAATGTGTCTAAGGGTTTTATTTTTTCATTGTTATATATTTTATTCTAACAAAATATTCAACAAGAGTAAAAACAAGAGCTCCAGACGACCATCAATTATTACAAAGTAAATAACGTTGACCCGCTGTGCAAAGATTGGTACTGCGTGATGCTAATTCAACCTGTATATGACACTTCGTGTATTCTTTATACTGAGGTAATAGCACACATTTTTTTTAATTTTATTTTTTAAAGAAATTTTCAAGAAAAGAGACAGTTTGATTTTGGGAATGTTATATGTGATAACAGAGAAAGAAGAGTAAACGCTTCCCGATCGTTTCACTTGCAAAAACATCTCTGGCTGACGTGACAATGCTGCTCCAGATTGATAGACATATGCATGTTTATAATTTCACTGGAACTTGTCTAATTATCCTATAAAATTTTGCACGTTTCTTTTATTCGTTATTTATAAAATGTTGACGAAGTTTCATGAATGTATCTCTGGCCTTTATGGAGTAAAAGTAAATGTCTCAATAATTTCCAAACAGCCCTCGTACATCATTTTATTAACACCTATTATCATACTGCAAAATCAAATTTATATTTGCAGTTGCACCAATAATACTCTGCACAGTTTCAAAGTTTCCATGTCGCAATTAATCTAGGGAATAACTCAGTGTTAATGAGCTCTGTATTACCTTGGGTGAGCCAGAGTTGGCAAGTTTCTGAATCACAGCACGCAATGCACTCGTGGTTGCCTCCAACAGTAGGTTGTCACCTTGAGTACCTATGCAAATACAATGCACATTCAGTCAACTAAACATTCAATCATTATATTAAAATATTTAAAATCTTAGTTTAAAATGGGCAGACAAAATAGAGCCCTCAGTCCCATTTATTTTTAGTCCTGCCCTAACACCAGAACCCCATGAATGTCACAATTTAGGTTGATGCACCTTTGCTCATCATAATGATGCACTTAGTTTGTCTGCTAAATATCAAAATGCAGAGTAGATTTTCAATGAATCAATGCATTTTCACTATGAGATCAATAGAGCCACGCCCTAACACCAGAACCCCTGCCCCTGGGGCCATGATTTTTCACAAATTAGGTAGAGGCACTGTTGCTCATCATAACCATTTTACAAATTTGTTTTTCTGCTAAATATCCAGGTGTAGAGAAGAATATTTATTTAAAAAAAAAATCAATGTATTTTCATGATATAATCAATAGAGCCCCACCACTACACCCAGAACCCCTGAACCGAGGGCCATGAATTTTACAATTTATGTTGAGGCACTCTTGGTCATCATAACCACACTTTATCTGCTTAATACCCAGGAACAGGGGAGAGGATTTTTAAAGAATGAATGCACTTTCACTATATGATCAATTCAGCCCAGCCCTAATATCAGAACTCCTGTCCTTGTGCCATGATTTTTATAATTTTGGAAGAGGCACTCTTGATCATCATAATCATGGATTTTGTCTGCTAAATACAGGGGAGGGGGACAAGATTTTTAAAAGAATTTATGCATTTTCATTAATATGATCAATTATAGAGTTCCTTTTAACACCAGAACCTCTAACCCTGGGCCATAAATTATATTATTTTGATAAAGGGCTCAATGCTTATCATAATCATGCCAAAAGTTTGACTGCTTGATATTCAGGAATTAAGAAGATTTTAAGATTTTTGAAGATTGCATTAAATTTGACAGTGTTGGCCCCACCTCTCAGACCCCAGAAGGTGGAGACTATAAATTCACAACTTCGTTCCCCTTTGCCCATAGATGCTACAAACCAAAATTAGTTAAAATTGATTTGGTTATTTCAGAGAAGTTGAAAACATTCACAAATTTAAGACTAACACACAACAAATGCGGATAGACAAAAACAGATAGCAATAGGTCACCTTTTTTTAAAATGTTTACAATCGGATGAAAAAATATAAGACCTTCACTTACATGTAAGTTTCCCCCCCAATAAATTTTTCAATTTGAATCACTGGGACAGAATCTCAATCATTTTGACTCACTTTTAACATTGGTCATCAGGGTAGCTAGACTTGTCCACACTTGGTGTAATCTCTCAGCTCCTCCCAACAGGTCAAGGTCCATACTATTCACCATATTGTTCATACACAGAAGAGCATGGGCCTGTAACCTCACAAAACTGTAAAATAGTTCTGTACCTTTACAATAATTTTTAAATGTGCTTCAGATTTCCTTAACCAAGTTTGTTTTTATGGTTTGTTATGAGAGAAAATTGTAACACCAGCAGATCAATAATAATTTGCTTTATACAAAAGAACATTGCATAGGCAAAAATTTTGTATGGTTATCATTTAAAAATTTCACAACTAAATGTACCTTTCCGGAGACTTATCTGTTGGTATTGATACTTGAAAAATTGTTTCTCTTATTCATAATTACCAGCTGGAGATTTCATTATTCACATAAGAAAAGAAATTTCCTTTTTTGCCTCTACAGTACAGTAATTTCTCTTCTTTAATACCTTTTAGTTATGCTTTTAGGAAGACTGCCACAATCAACTGCTAAACACTTTAAACAGACCTGGATAAAAATTAGAATATTATTTTTTTTTTAAACAAAGGCAGAAAATTAAGATGTGTTATCTGTTGAATCATGAAAAAAATTAAATGTTTACCTTGTCAAATAAACAAAACTCTTTCACCCCTTGCTGAACTTCTGTTGAAACGCAGAGAGAAGACTGACAAAGAAAGAAAAAATGATCTGAAATGATCATCAAACAAAACTGAATAACAGTTTAGAAATTATTCTTGTTAATACAGAGATTTATTTTTTTATACTGCTGCAATGTCTTGGCCTTTGGGGACAAATGAACTTATTAAAATATCAATTCTATGAACTCCATAATAATTTTTTTATTCAGTTCTTTATTTTCCTTATGCCATATGGCACATCAGATAATAAGACACATGTACAAAATGAAATGAATAATTAAACCTTCCTGTGTACTCCTTTTCTAAAAATTTAATTAAATCACACTGAACATCCAACCTGCTCCATGTATACGTTTTCAACATACATGTACGACATGTGTTTATAGGAATACTTCAGTGGGTGAAAATGGAAAATGAGTTATTCAAGATGAAATTTTTTCATCATAAAATGACTGAATATCAGAAATGATACTCCTTTAGGATAATTTCCCTAAGCTGACACATACAAACATATCAATGGTGTCCTGCTCCATGGCTTCCTCTGACACGTCCACATCATCATCACAACTACTAGACTCGCTGTTCTCCATATCTTCCCAGCCATCATCTGTCAGAATGAATATCATGCTACCTTTTTATTTTTCAAGTGGACTAACACATTGTTAGAATCTTTTTCAGAGAGGTATATATATCACAAATGCAGAATAAGTGCTGAACTTTATTTTTTCTGACCTAGTGATAATCAGAGCCTATGCTAGTAACTCAGTGGTTTAAAGCATTCTCTAATAGCTGAATCCACACTTCTCAAAAGTTAGGTTCCTTGGCGCAATCTTAGGAGAAAAACCCATTGAATTCTCACAGTAGCCTTTGTAGTTTTCTGGTTTGTAACTTTGTCATCTGAGAAAAAAGCTGTGCCTCTTGTACATGTATATTGATAGCCCCAGAATGGGGCTACCCATGCATCAAAAGGAAAAAAAAATTAACACTGTGGGTTTATTGGAGCACACCAAAATGTTTGGTAGCATAAAGAGAAGAAATGTCTTTTCTTTCCCTTTTGACCTTTTGGTTGACCCTGCAAAGGGACACAACTTTTGCAAAGTGTGGATTGAACTATAGGTTCAGTCTACAGTACATCAACAGTTCCACTCCAGTTGGATTGAGTTTTTAATTTTTTTCAATTATTTAAGGAAAAATTCTATTTCCCCCTTAACCTCAAGTTTTAAATACTCTAATACCAAAAGTTAATTTTATGTTCCATCAATAATTATTGAAGTTTTTCAGGTGTGTTGTATCTCCTTCAGTCTCTTTCAGATAAAATTTGCATGACCAAGACATGTAAACTTTTTTGTCTTAAATTTTTTTTCATGAAATAGTTCTGAATTTCCAAAGTAAAACTGCTTCTATTCATCATTTCTATTTAATTCAATTAAATTTTGCAACTTGCTACCCACCAAAATACCTAACAGATGGGTACCATACACAACATGAATTTCCTTATCCAGTGAAAGTGATGATAATCAAATTAAATGTTAAAATTCCAGAAAGTACACAAGAACATGTCATCCAGTCTCTATAAAGCTCTTGAAACAGAAACACTGTACTTATATATTTCTCCTTTCACTATGATATGTTTCATTATTCCCACACAGTGATTCTTCTTTTGGTTCTCTATAACAAAAAAAAATAATACAAAAAACAGACAATGTTTCTGTCTAGTTTCAATAACTTACCATTTATGCAACATAAATTTGCAACAATCTCAAGGGCAACTTGTTGCGCAGACAAAATATTCTGAACATCTCGGAATTTTTCATTTACTTCTTCCTGTAATATATAAGCAAATCAATTCAACTTCATTACAGTCTTCACATACAGACTGAGAGTATTTAATGAACTCACAAAGAAACATGCATGTACATGTTCATTTATATATGCACAATAGTTTTAATTTCACTTCGTATGTAACATAAACCTTTTCCTATTCAGCATTATTACATTCTAATATAATCCCATTCATTCCCTTTTTGTGAAAAATTACAAAATGATTGTTGCATGTTGTGATAAAACACGATTGTGATGTAGTGGGAAAATCAGATTTTGTGTCATTCAGATTTAGTGTGCTGAGGTTATGACGTATTTTCTTCAGTTTTATAAGACTGAGTTTCAGATTAGTAAGGGGCTAGATATTTTTTCCTGGGAAGTCAAGTGGCTTTTATAATAAAGCAATGACCAGCACAACATATCTTTCTAGGATATCTGCATGCATATTTGTTTTCAAATTCATCTTGAAAGCTGATGATGCTGTTAATATAAACCTTACCTGGCCAGTGACTATTTTGTGTGGTGTGCCATTTTCCTCTTCAGTCACCATCCCAATTTCACCATTTAATAAAGAATTACTTGCACCAGCTACTTTCTGAGCTGTATCCATGGCTTCCAGTGTCAATACATCAGACACTGATCTCAATAAGGATGTCAAATTCATACTGCCAGAAACATTTGCAGCTTTTCCTGAGCTGACATTTACCATAATACCTATACAATATAAGGGAAGAAATAATACCAGGGTAAAAGTAAGATTGAAGGTGCAAATAGATGCAATCCAGACTTCATGTGTATTCAAATATTTGGAAAAAAGTACAATAATCTATTGTTTTAGGGTTCAAAATCACAGAAATATGTTTTTGATTTACTTTAATTTCATTTGATCAAACAACAAGAATTGCAAATATACATGTACTAGGAATCAAATAATATCAATTTTGCACATTCATCAAATAAATGTATTTTCATTGTTTAAGTACTTGGGAATGCTCATAGAAACTGTTACAGTACGTATCAAAGAAACTTCATGTTGCAACTACTTTGATGTTGAGCTCGAGTATATGGTGAAAACTATCTAATCCGACACTAGTGCAATCTGTTTCACTGTGAATTCCGACCTTTATTTTCATTCCCATTTTACTATTTTCCAAGTTATTTCCACTGTGCAATCAGAAACCCTGCCTATTTTGACTAAAAATTTGTCTCCCAGTGCATGTTGGATTAGACAAGTTTCACTGTATTAATTCTGAACACTGGCTTGTTAGAATAAAAACTTTTGAATATCTAAAACACAACTGTCATGCCCCACACAATTGTAGATTTGGGGGTGTATCGCTGTTGGTCTGTCTGTCTAATTGTTGCAAAAATTTAACCTTGGCCATAACTTTTGAATGATTGGTGCCTTTCATATTTCACATATTAATTCCTTATGACAAGACCTTTTTTAGGGTATCAGCACTTTTGATCTCATGTCCTTAACTTTGAAGTTTGACCTTTTGAAAAACTTTTAATCTTGGTCATATCTTTTGAACAGTTGGTGCTAAACTGTCATATTTCACATGTGTATTCCTACTGACAAAACCTTTTTTTTGGGGGGGGGGGGGGGGGGGGGGGGAGGGGGGAATCAACATTTTTGACCTCATGACTTTGACCTTGGAGTTTGACATACCTTTGAAAAACTTTAACCTTGGACATAACTTTTGAACTGTTGGTGTTAGGATTTAATATTTCAAATGTGTATTCTTTGTGACAAGACCTTTTTTTCTTTTGGTATCAACAATAAACTCATAACCTTGACCTTGGAGTTTGACCTGCTTTTGAAAAACTTTAACCTTGCCACTAACTTCTGAACAGTTGGTGCGAGGACTTTCATATTTATATTCTTCGTGACAAGGCCTTTCTTTGGGTACCATCATTTTTGACCTCACGACCTTGATCCTGGAGTTAGGCCTATATACTTTTAAAAGACTTTTATCATGACAATGAACTGCCATACAGGGCATTAGTGTTTCACAGAAATGTCTTGTTTCTTCATGTTTCAAGGCCAAAATATAAAATGCATTCATTACATGTAAAACCTAAAATCTTTAAGCATCTTTTGTGAAACTTTACCTGTTGCAAGTGTTTTTAATAGGATAAGGTCAGATGAATCAGTGCTGAGAGAAATTAAAGAATTCAGAAGACCAAGAACATCTGGGTCCTGAAACATCTTGATGACAGGGGAATTGTCTTCTGTTACTGTGTACAGGCAGTTTGCTGAAATATTGACAAATATAACTGAAGAGCAATCTAATCAATGATATATTTAAAACTACAGGGGTATGTCAGACCAAAAAATTACCTTTTGAGTCAACTTTAACTATACTGAAAATGGACAAAGTACAAGAATTTTTTTAGACCGAGAATAAATTAAGTATTGTACTGTTAAATAATTATCTTAAATATTCTGATCTGGGTCTTTTTTTTCTCCTTTCAAACAAATCTACATCTTTTACCTGTACCAAATATGCATGAAATTTTGCTAGAAAATATTTACAGATCTGAGTTCATTAAGAAACAGCTATTAAGATTGATAAAAGACTTAAGTTCTAACCAACAGTGACTGCCAATTCTTCTCCATACACTGTGTACTGCATACATGGACACAAGACTGGAAACAAGTTCTCTTTGTTAAAAACCTCCAAAGCCTCTTCACTATTCTCACTGAAAAAAAAAGAAGCTTTGAATAATGATTTTAAAATAACACAAAAATCTAATCACTCATGCAAGACATTCTTCAGATCAGTTAACATGGGAAACCAACATGTCTGTTAAAGAAGCAGTTTTAAGGAAAGTCAATCAGATAAACTTACTGATATTGATTAATAAGACTTGTAAATATATAAGTTCTGGAATATGGATTGGAAAAATATTCATGTAATTTTTTCATTTAGGACCATAATATGTAATGATATGAAAAGTGTTTTTTCATATTCTATTCATTAAACACATATTGCCATGTCTGAGATGGACAAATAAACTAGAAAACTGACCAGTCAGCAAGGGCCCCGCCGAGGGGTAGAAATATAAGGGTGCAGCTTACAGAATGAGAATTTTAATTGATTACAAAAATTTAAAAATATACGAAGAAGAATATGCAATAACAACTGTATTTAATAAATTTCAAGATAATTCATAAATATCCAACAACCTGTAAAGAGTATCCCTGTATTTACATAAGGTAGTAAAAAACATCATATCTATAATAACTCATTTAAATGTATATTTAAACAAGAATAAAGCATGTGTTTTATAAAATGCCAGCCTTCAGTGAATGCAAATATCACCCAGGCTTGACCTTAACTTCAAAACAAACATCAGTTGCAGTCTTGCAGACAAATGTTAATTCATCTTACATGTAAAGTGACAAAGATAAGCCTGGAAAATTTTCTGCCCTAGACAAGATAATTAATCCCAGGGGGTTAATTGTACTGCTCTCACATTCTTTTCTTCCAAGTTTACAATAAGAACTTTTTCAGTAATAATTAGAATGAGTTTATTATTGGACTACCTGTTAAAATAGTATTCTTGAATTTACATATGGCAGCCAAAAAAAAAAAAAAAGAATAAATAATAATAAATAAAATAAGTAAATAAAATCAAAAACAAAAAAACAATAAAAAACAAAACATATCTTTATGTATATCTTGTTTTTAGTTTTTAATAAAATCATAACTCATTGTGTATTTTACCAAAATAAAGTATGAACATTATTTTTAAAAATCCACATTTCAGAAAATGTAAATCATTCAGAATTGACCTTAACTTCAAAACAAACTTCATTTGCAGACAGAGGTGTTAATTAATCTCAATTTGACAGAAGCAGATAATGCTTTGGATTTTCTTCTAGAGGAAAGTTAATTAATCCCATGGGACTAGTTGCAGCTTTCACAGTTTACAATAAGAACATTCTCAGCAGTTATCTCTCTTTGCCCTGGCCATTCATTCTAATGTAAAGTTAAGGAATCTAACCCACCACCCCAGCTCCAAAGTGGATGACATAGAGAACCAAACTTAGCATCAAAATATGTCTTACTGCCTCTTCAACCAACATACCAAATTTGAACTTAATTGGTCAACTACAAAAAAAGTTATGGGAAAAAAACAGAAAAAATTTGTGGACGGAAGAATGACAGACGGACAGACAGACAGAGTGATTACCATAGGGCACCCGCAAATCCTTGCGGGGCCCTAATAAGAAGTGATAATCAGTGGGAATGGATTGTGTAATTCAAGATCTTGCATTACAAATGGAGATAACGAATTGGTTATCTGTGGGAATGGTTTATGTAATTCGAGATCTCAAGATACATGTACGTATCGAGATGATGAATTTATAATCTGTGGGAATGGATTGTGTAACTCGAGATCTCAAATTACTTTTTATTTTTTTGAAAAAGGACAAGTGCACTTAACACTCAAGCTCAATAAAATGGTGCAAATGATGTCGCTGGGGGTTAAGCGTAAAAAAATAATGAAATGTCAAAGAAAATACTTTTTGAATGAACGCATGAATATGTAACCTTCAAGGCAAAAATACAAAAATGAAGTGAACAAATCATATTGAGATATTTTATTTGGCATATAGTGATTTTTTGAAACGTAAGTTACTGTCGCCAACATCGAATAATTACACTTAAATGGCTATTTTTTGTACAAATAACAGTTGAATCTTAAATTAGATAGCATATGTCTTCAAAACATTTATTTGTAAAATGCTTTTACTAAATTATTGAGCATAATCACAAATATATTACCAAACTTTGATCTGATATCCCCATGTCGCCAGAAACAAAATAAAAACAGACTGTGACGTTAAATATAGTATGAGTATTAGGTATTGTATGCCTGTAAGATTGGAATACGTTTCATTTTGAAGGAAACTTCTTGAAAATTAAACAAAAAATGTTACAAAGCCTTGTATATGTTACAAATACTTTGAAATTACATTCTATCTTCCTATTTTACATGCGTATGGATAGGCATGAAACATTCATTGTATTAGTTTAATAGATGAAATAGAATGATATCATAGTTAAACATGTGATACTTTTCTTCTATCCAACAACTGTATTCCATGCTCCAACCATGATTTAACAATGTCTTATTGTTAGCTTACTATTTAAGAGAAAATGATTAAATGAAACAACCATTACCGAAACATTCGTTACCAAACCTCTTAAAAAAGAATGATTTATGAGTTCAAACATCTTCTGCACATATACGTAGTCAAATATTTTGCACCAGTATTCAAATTTTGACATCCGGGGTACGGTACTGCCTTTTTTATGATTTTTTTCTAAAGTCTAGACAGTGTTGGTGAGTTTGTTTTCTAGAATGCAATAACAATGAATCAAATGTAATGAATTAGTATGTAACTGTTAATATTTATATAACGACCGACAACAACTACACAACCAGTATCAATCTACACCTGAATGTCCTCTGTTAGTCTTGAAAGGTGTTGAAACGTTCGTTACCGAAGGTAACGAATGTTACAAAATTTTTAACAAATCATATATCAAAATAGCAACAATATTTACAGAATTTCTTTCATGACTAATTGTTCGAATGTAAACTTTATTGATTGATTTGTATCATTTTAAGCTTAAGTTGCATAAATTTTGATATAAACTGATTCTAGAGACGCATTAATGAACACACACGTTAATTCTGAAGAAAAACATTAATTGAAATTATTTTGAAAGACATTTTTAGATTGAATCATATGATATTGATTAAACAAAGGCTTGAGTTTCTATTCTGAATCTACATCAGGGTTTTTTGTTTCTCTCTTATAATTTTGATACTGTTAAACTCACATTTTATGTTAAGTAACGTACGTTTCAGCATTTTATTTTAGTTGAACTATGGCAATGACCCAAGCAGAAATACGAAGGAAGTTTCCATTGATGGTTAAATGATTTCAAGCTAAAAGTCATCAGAAAAATTGTTATTTACATTATTTTAGGTTCTGTTAAAACGTCTATACAGACAATTTTACATATATCTCTTATCCGTTTGTACATATAGTACAGTTCAAGGAAAATATGACACGATGATATAGATGATGCAGTTCAAATTATGATTTCTTTTGACATTTTCAATACCATGGCACAAGCAGAGCAGAAATTACATCTCATGAATTGGTCCATTTTGTTGGAATTAATCTTAAAAACAGTAAATATTACTTCTTATGAAACATTCGTTACATACGGACATTGTTGCATTTGAAAGTGTAAATAAGAACAAGATCGCAATTCATGAACAACATTTTATTTAACGTTTTTATAATGGATCCTCTATTCATTTAGAACCCCCATTTGCGCTGGGCAGTTTTGATTTTTCTTGAGGCATATTTGAAATATAAAATTTTAGAGATATGTCAAATTCATTTGAAGAAAAAAATATAATACGAAATCTGACTGCATCAATTCATAAAATACATTATGACAGTTGACCTTTTTTGTCTTATCACAAAAGTAAGTAGACCGATTTGCTTTTGACATTGAGGATTTATTTCAATCTATATTATTTCATCCTAAAATCTTAAAGGAAAACTATAAATAAATATAATACATAACGCTTGTTTCTCAGCAAATAATGATCAACAATACACCTTTATTTCAAATTGACGTAATTTCTTAACCAATGAACTTAACTTGAAAAATCTTTGGGAATACAAACTTGATATGTTGATCTATCTGAAAATGTTATTAGCAGATGGATAATCAAAAGTCGATTTTTGAAGAAAAAATATCTTGAATTGCACCAATTTATTGAGTTTGGGTGTTAAGCATTGCTTAATGGGCCCTTTTCAGTGCCGTTTTACTTTAGAATATATTACCAAATTGTTCTCTTTTGGTAATAATTAAACACAAGTGGGATATTTCTAATTAAAATCACGTTAAAACATCTCCTAAATCAGCAAGGATTTGAAACAAATGAAGATTTTTAAATGCCTTAAGATACCCCAAATCTGGAAAAGTCGTACTGAAACTATTTTGAGTTTCGTTTATTTAAATCAAGGGGAGGAGACATTTAAATTGACACTTGAACAATCTGATGGTGGATCATTGACGGGCACGTTTGCTGATTCGATTGAAACTTCTTGCCTGAGAAAAAAATCAAATGAAGTTGTATAGATACCTGTAGCCATAGTGATCAAACTAAGAAATTTGCACGCTTGCATTTAAAATAATACAATAAGTACTTTAAATTTTAAAATGAAAAAAGTGTATTTAGGTGGCTTTCAATACCGGTACCATTGTCTTGCATGAATGTTAAAAATGTTTGACGCTTTCATGTATTTTGACATTTTAACGACATTAAACTCTCCTAACCCTCCCGTGCTCCTAAAACCAAATACATACAAACATCTCTATGCGACACAACTTCGATATAATGATACAAAACATGGCTATCTTTTACAGTGAGCACCTTTGAGGAATGTTTACCTTGGTACAACTCACGTAACTACCGGTATTTTAAATGAGTTCTTCCACAGATGGGTTCAACATAGGTCATACAGGTAAATAGCTCTCGCTCGCTTTAGGAAAAACATTGATTTTTTCATACATTTTTAATATTTTAAGTACAAGCCTAATCTTGTACAAATTTCCTACTTTCGCACAAGTTTTATAAATGTATAATGCGTTTTTTGTCATTCGCACAAGTTTGTACAACGTTAGGCAACGTACAGTAAACAAAAGCTTTGAAATGAATGACCGTCCTTGATTTACTATAGACAATCACAAATGTCGGCTGACCCCAACCACATTGTATGGCTTTGCTCTATGTATATTCATGAATTTCAGCGATAAAATTTGTTGAATCTTATGGTTTAGATATCAATTAATGATCTGAGATGAAAAATTATGCTTAATTTGATTCTTCATTTTTTCACATTTTACCGGGGCCCATAAGTGCACTCGTTCTTTAAGTGTCCCTTCAGGGCTTTTGTACTAGATAGAAAGTTTACAAGTAAACTTAATCAAAAAAAGCTCATTTGATTCTTAAGCTAAGGTAAAAGGAAACAGAACAAACATTTACAGTATCAAGTTACCTACCACAGATTCCACAATATATGCACAGCTTCTGTGAAAATGGAAGACTTAAAGTCCTTGTGTTTCTTTCCTGTAGACTTTTCTGGGGTCCAGTTAGAATCATACTGTGCAAAAAATAAAATAAAAGTGATATTACATGTATAAAGTTCAATAGATAAACTTTTAAGACAGATTGAGAAATTATACCTGGTCATTGTTTTTCCTCCTGACATTTTGGAATGAAACTCACAAAACCGTGTGAAATATATTTTTTTGATTAATACAATTCTTTTGTTTTCACCAATATGTACATGTAATTATAAAAAATTTGATTAAAATATCATTGAACATTTTCTTAAAAAATTTAAGAATATGGGGAATGGGCATAGGCACTTTGTTTCTGCAATAAATTTTTACCCTAAAGTATCAATAAAACAAGGTATCCAACTCTGAATTACATAGATTTTACCTCCATACACAGTCCTCCCCCTACTTTTCATCCTGAACAGATGAATGATGATTTCGAGCAGGATAATTTTAATGAATTTAATTAATGGTCAGCACTAGTCTATTTAAATTTGATTTTAAAATGCTTATAATCCTCAACATGAAAATTTGCATATCAGTTACCAAAAAGTGCTCAGAGTCCAAAGTGATACATCTTCGGTAAACAAATCGGACAATTGGCTAGCGAAGATGAAAGTGATATAAAATGCCCAGATACATAATCCCTGTATTTCTAGATGCAGTTGCAAACATTTTCTGCCATGCTTGTAGGCCTTAAAGGGTATCTCATTTCACATTTTTGGTAATATTTCTTTTGGAAATGAAAGAAAACAATTTTCATTATAATGATGATTTTCAAATTTGTTGGTTAATGCAACACAGCCTTTTAGTTTACCTGTTTAAAAAGAATCAGGAGAGGAGTGAGCACATCCTTCTTGACCATTTCTTGACAAACTGTTTCACCACCGTCTACACTTAGATTTCTACAGAAAAAAAAAATACATCAGAATACACATAAAGCTCACAACTCAACTATCACACAATTACAGTTCTTCATCTAGACACAAAAGTCATTACCTCAGTGCCCCAAGGGCTTTGACTTGAATCTCTGGGTTTTTATCTAAAATCACTGGGGCCAGAATTTTCACAACATTGTGTTGGAGGAGAATTTTTACAGCACTTGGCTGGGATACAAGATTGGCTAAAGTTGTACAACTACATTCCCTCTCTTCTTCTGATGGACCATTCAGCTGTATAAATATTATAGCTGGTTCAATTCTAAGTAGATTGTTGATAGCACATACTTAGTGCAGTATATTTTTTAAAATAGCATTAAATTAAATACACTAAAAAGCCTTGTACCTTCATTCGTATCATGTATCCTGTAAAGAATAATGATGTGGGTACTGTATACATGTATATTAATTAGAGCACCATCCAGACATTTTGACCATATTAAAGTTAATTTATGTGTTTTATGTTTATGTGTTGTACCACTGTATGTGTTGACAGAACTTATTTTTGAGTATTTGTCATGCATGTCTATATTTTGTGTTGAATTTCATTTGTATTCTCCAATGCATGAAATTGTATTTGTGTAAATGTTCAAAATGAAATCACGTAAGATTATTTGCTTCTGACAGAATTATTTAATATCAAATAATGATTATGATAATTATTAAGATTTTCTTTTATTTTTAATTATATGACTAAATTAACAAAGGAATTATTTTTATGATAAATTGAACTGTGATAAAGAAGTGGTAATCATTTTTACATCAACTTTATTCAATGAGAATATAAACTATAAAGTATGAGACTTATTATAATAATGACGTATTGTATTTGTGTTAAATTTATATTTTTATCTGGCTAAAAATTTTTATTGCTATTACAGGGTCTACATACATACATACATATTTTATTCAATAAATATAAGAACCAAGGATGTTGTTTTTCTTGAATGAACTCTTTTACATCACCCCCCCCCCCCCCAATTAATTAAAAGAACATATTATATAGCTGTATATCTATGATAAGTAAACTTGTTATTCATAATCCTCTGTATCTGGTTGATAACAAACACCAGAAACCCAATATCCAATGATTTTAATGTATGATTATTATGATAATATCCCATAATTCCCAGAAATATTGTAAATATTCCCAATTCTTATTGCCCTGGCCCCAGTCCAAAAAAGTGGTGTGAGAGCCCTGAATTGTCACAGTAACCAAATCTACTGGTTATTGCTTGACTTGTCTAAGGCCAGGGAGTAGGGTGCACTACTCATGCCAGGTGAACCCCCTACCCTCCCAGAGCAGGGGTCACACATGAATCAGTGCAAAACATCCCAATACCAATTTAGTTATTTACACTTATATTACATAGTGAGACTCCAGGTTACTGTAGATTCCTAAATATATGCAAGGAATAAATTATCATGTAATTACGCGAGAAGCACCACTCGCAAAATAAAATTACTCGCTTTTATTTTTATGGTGCTTTAATATTTTTAAAAATCTCTTGATAAATCACCCATTCGCGGATTATTGTTCTGGCGATTTGACGCCCTTTGGCCATTTCACGATATTAAGTACTTGTGTAAAATAAGGAATCTACAGTATGGTTGTGATCAATATTTTGCTTAGGGTACAACTTGTCTTCTGTACTCGCAAACCCAAAGTCAACTCATAACCAAAGTACTGATTATGACTGAACTTCTGCTTGCTGGAAATGTGTTCGATTTGACTTCTTTACGAGTTGACTACAAACAGAACCAGCTGCAATAGGGAACTTCAGATTTTCAAGCAGGGTTGTGATTTCAGACGTTACATGAATTTCCGCGAGAAACGGCGAGTGTTTAAAGTCATGAGAATCTCAATTTAAGAAAGAGAGAAAAAAAGACACACAGAGTCCATGCATCTAGGAGTTTTCACCTTTTCTAGTAGAGAATGAATCGAGTCACTGTTTGGAGATTCTGTACTCTGCTCCATTTCATTCTCTGCATCTTTAACACTCATCAAACCCGTTGGTTTTGGTCTCGCTATTTTGAATTTTTTATTCTTCGTTTTCCCCATAGTTAATTCATTTTTACATCACTAATTAAACTTCAAAACCAAAACTGCAGCGGGCAGCCATGTGGACGTTTGTTTTTCTTTGTCACTTCCGGTGAAAGTGAAGTCAGCCGCCAGTCCGTATTATAAATTTAGATTTTTAAGGAAAGCTTTGGGATTCACTTCAAGAAAATATTTCCTATTTTTTTAAATTGTCTGTGGATTACCAATTTATCACATTAAAGCCAAATGGAAACAATGCCAATGTAACCCTACGAAACTAAACTTTAGACATCTGTTCTATGCCAAGGGCATAGGATAGAGAGCTCCTGAAAATGCCTGGATATGGTTTACAGGGGTTTCCTCCAGAATTTAAGAAAAAATATCGGCGACAAATATTAGAAGAACCCACAGAATGGGACAAAGTTGGGAAAATGCATTTGTTCTTTGGTGACATTAGAACTAATACAACCAAAAAAATGTACATTCTTGGCAAAGCCGGATTTATATATGGTAAAGAAGTTTAAAGTTGATTATATTTTAGAACTAACTATCTAGTTTTTTTAATATAATAAATATGTATTAAATTGAAGTAAGAGGTTATGTGCATAAACACGAAGCTGTTTTGGGATGATATGCCTATACAATGACTAACATGACCAGCTGCAGCAATATTTACACACTTGTTCATCTGATTGAGAAATTTTGGACAGACAAACCAGAGAGCTACAGATGATGAGCCAAGCATTGTAAAAACCTTTGATTTATGGCCAAGTTATTTTGTCGATCAACGCTTATGTCATTTCTGGTATTATATATAATATTATATGGCATTGTGTTCCCTCGCTTAAACTTTTGGTATATCCTGGAAGCAATAATTGCATGCATGTCAATGTTCATTATAAGTTGCCAAGCCAAAAAGAGCAAATGATTTTATCAGACAATTCAATTCTATAACTAGTTCCTGTTTCTTTAAGCAAGATTTGTATTTCCCGTGATGACTGAGTGAAAGTAAATTAAAATATAGAGTTGCAAAAAAGTATAAAAGAAATGCTGATTCCCGTTTTTATGTCCCTGCCATAAAATGACCGTGGTATATAAGTGTTACCCTGTTTCGTCTTGCTGTCATTCCGTCATCATTCACTTTCTGTTCATTATCTCTGTAACAGTTGCACACAGTCAGCTCAAATTTGACATATGGAAACGCCATAGAAATCTGCAGGTCAAGTTTAAATTTGGTGATGGTCAAATGATTTTTGACAGAGTTATCCCAAGTGGCTTCTAAAATGGCTATACCCATGGATATTGTAGAAAAGCAGTTAACGTTACTGTAGATTTTTGAGTGAAAGTGATAGGCAGGAGAAGGTGTAAAAAGGTAGTCATGCATTTTTCCCATTTAACTTAATGATTTAAGAAGATAACAGTGATTTCTATTCATTAGTACTTTGTTGTCTTTGAACTACAAGTTTTTTGAATTCCTGGTATAAATAAATTGTTGAAAATGAAAAAGAAAAACTCAATGTTTAAACATTTATACAATGCAGTTTTCTCAATGCATGTCCATAAAACATTTATAAATGTATTACATGTATAAAGGATCCTTAAAGTGTCTTACTTGCAACCTAAACATTTTTTCCATTTTCTATGAAAAATTATGGCCTACCTAAAAAAATGGAAGAAAGAAGAAATCGTGTTAAATAATGAAGAGTTCATGTTGGGTTTTCAATGATGAAATCATATTTAAAAAGAGACACTTTAAAGATCCATCAAATAAAATTATGGAGATAATTAAGATATATTTCTAATGGGAATTGTGTATTGAATATGCACACAGTCATTAAGCAATTCTGAATATTACTGAGTGGTATGAAAAAGTCTTAAAAAATTACAATTTTTTCTATTCACAGGGGTGTATTTCTCAGTGGCAGACTGCTACCTGTTACCCCATCCCAAAAATCCTGGATCTCGTACTGCACGCTATTTTGCACAACTGTTGGCAAGAAATGTACCTTTGTCAAGTAAGTTCAGTGATATTCTATATACTTAAGGCTGATAATGCAAAGTAATTATATAAGAACACACACATTTAATAGGGCCTTTCTGAACACATCACTGGGTTTTGAGAAATTAAGCTTGGCATGAAGTAATTTTTCACTGAATTATGGTACAAAATCTTAACTAAATTTATTTGAAATATATTACATACATGTACATTTCTTTTTTCAGTGTTTTCTACATTATTCTTTGGAGCTTCATGGTATGCCTGGAATACATACTTTGACAGAGATAATTTATATGGGGTGTTTTTTGCTGCCAATGCCACCTGGGCTGTAGTTAAAGGCCCCATCTGTAAGTAGCTAAAACTGATTTTTTTCAAAAGTAGGTCAAACTCCAATGTCATAAGTAACTAAAATTAAAGTATTTCAAATGTAGGTCAAACTTCAAGGTCAAGGTCAGGAGTTAAAAAATGTTGGTATCTAAAGAAAGGTCACAAGTGAAATATGAGAAACTAGGGCTGTCACGGTTCCAAAATTTTTCGGGTCGGGTCGGTTCTGTAAATTTTCGGTTCGGTTCCGGATTTTTCAGGTCGGGTATTTAAATCTATTTTAAACCTTAATTTCATGAATTTAACTTGAAAAATCTTTATTTGTTACATTAAATTTACATTGAAAACAAGTCTTAACCATGCCAACGTCTAGACATCGGTGACTTGGCCTACTATTAGCCACAACCTGACCATTCCTGCTCGTTTTGATAATTATCTAATACTTCCGTGACAAGTGTTTTGTCATGGAATGAAGTAGATTTCAGTTGTGATGTTCATTTATCACTGTTATCGTAATCATTCCTTTGATTTCGTCGCCATTTTTTGTATTGAACAGACTCTAATATATAAACGAGACCCGAACCGAAATCCGGAAAAATGGAACCGGAACCGAACCGAACAACTTGGACCGCGGTTCTCGGTTATTTCGGGTACTCGTGACAGCCCTATGAGAAACCCTTGTACCAACCATTCAAAAGTTATAGTCCAGGTAAAAAATTTTTTCAAAAGTAGGTCGAAATCCAAGGTCAGGAGGTGAAAAATGTTGGTACTCAGGGAAAGGTCTTGTTTCAAGGAATATATCTGTGAAATATGAAAGCCCTAGCTCTAATCATTCAAAAGTTATGACCAAGGTTGAAGTTGTTGTGGACAAATAGACAGAGGGACAGACCAAAAACTATATGCATCCGAATCTGTGATTACAGGGGCATGAAAACAAATTATTGATTTTCGAATCTGTGATAAAAGGGGCATGACAACAAATTATTTACTTTAGACAATATGAATAAATCAGATTCCGATTTAATTCTTGTATACATATTTACAGATAAAATTGATCATCCTAAATTGTGATATCTCCAGGGTTGCAAATAATATAAATATAAACATTTAAACTTGATGGGCTATATTGACCCCCAACTTTACAAGTTTTACTAGCCTAAATTAGTATTTGGGACCCACATTTAAAAATTAAAAGTCAAAAACAATTACATAGAAGAACAAACTCTTTTTCATATGTTGTTTTACTTAGTCAAATTTATTTCACCTATCAGAATCCAGTGCTGTGGTTTCATCAGTATTCGTGAGCATCACTTTTTGTGGATTTAGTGAAGTGCACACAGTTTTGAGAATACATTTTGAGGATACACAGTTTGTGAAAAATGGTCATCAGTCATACCAATGAATTTTTGTTTTGGTCAATTTTTTTTTTTTTTACATCAGAGTTATTACTTATTTTGGTATGCTTCAGCTGGAACTTCACACCTTTACATTGGCACAAGTAGTAAATCTTTAAAACAATATCAGTGATTGGGAAGGGCTTGCGCCATGCACCATAGTCGCATTGAAGTGAAAATTGGCGTATTAAATCAACCATTGGTGGCACCAAGGTGCGCATTCAAATTTTAGCGATATTAGTTGGAAATATATTGCATACAACTTTCTTGCTTGTTTTACTTTCATTTTAAATGCAGTCATTTTAATACAATAAATCTCATTGGTTAAAACCCAACAAAAACTGTTTCCTGTTACATGAAGTGCTTTATAAAGTTTATTTAGGACATCAAAGGTACATTATCTCACTCATTTCCCATTTTTAATTGAGATTTTGACGTTATTGATCCAAAATATGAGAAAATTATATTGTTTGCGGGTTCCATTAAATGTGAAACACTCCATACGTGAAAAATAAGATTTGGTTAATAAAGAAACATGTTTCCTATCCTATTTCACATTTTGTGTGTCATTTTGTTTTTTCTTGAAATGGCCCATCAGAATATATATAGATGGCCCATTCATTTTCAAAATGGCCCATTAAAAACTTTGACAGTTGGACCATAGTCCCATTGACCTTTATGGCCTAGCTTCCCAATGACTGCAATATACAAGTGAATATACTCTTATATATTTCACTTAAGGACCCTATATACACCAATGAAAAATGTTTTTTAGGCTCTGAGAAAATTATATCATATAAAGATATAAATATGGAGTTCATCTATTTAATTTTCAACATAGGGTACCTGCCATTTATCTCCAGGAAAAATATTCAAAGACGATGAATTGTTGGTGAACTGAAATCACTGTTGCTTACTTAAATGGCAAAAATACATGCAAATAAGGCGTTCATTTAATTCAACTAGACCAAATGAAATGTTCAGAATGTTTGAATTGATTACAAATTGAATAACAAATTTAGATTTCAATTTATTCCATTTTAGATCTAAGGGCAGATCACTCTAACTGCATAAAAATAGCATGGAATTGGAACTCTTTAGTGTGCAGTGTATAGAGGGTTCTTAAATCTAATTTATTTGTATTGAAAAAATTTGGAACCTTTGAATTCCATATTGCCACTTCATCTGAGCCCAATAGAAATAAATAGTAAATATGTAGTTAAAACACATGTATAAAGTGAATTCTCCGGGATATTTAATAGAATTTCAAGTTTTTTTTAATACATTAGAAAGACATGAGAGAAACCATTTTCATGAATGATACACACAACATGTTGTTACTGGACTTGATTGTGACACCCAGACTCACCCTTTTACTTGTAT